TGTGTAACACATCTTTCAGAATGAGAGTCCTGCCAGAAGTAAACTTCAACTCAACATTTCCAACACCAGCAATGTTAGTGGAATGGGAATCACCCAACAGTACTTTCTTATCATCGGTCTTTTCAGTGTATGTTTTAAACATTCGACGATCATAACAGACATGGCGTGTGGCACCAGTGTCTATCCACCACCCATCTGATCCACCAGTAAGGTTGATCTCAGTAATCATAGCCACAAAAGGCTCTTCAATCATGCTAGCCTGCGCTGGCACAGGGTTAGGCATGTTCCTGCACTTTCGTGCCATATGGCCTGGTTTTCCACACCGATAGCACAGAAATTGACCAGTACCATTCTTAGGGGGTTGTGACTGTTGTCTTCCATTGTTCTTTTGAACATTCGGTTTATTGAAGTTATTCTTCCGGTTCTGAGGTTTGAAATTCTTACCAGCAGGTTTAAGTACTGCAGCAGATCGCCTAGGAGCATTATTAGCAGAGATTTGTAAAATCTCTTCCTTTAGATCCTGTTTTCTGGATTCTTCTTCTATACGTAGCCGAGTGATCAAACTCTCTAAGGAGAATTCCTTAGTCTTATGCCTGAGATTATTTTTGAAATCTTTCCAGGAAGGAGGCAACTTGTCAATAATAACAGCAATTTGAAATTGTTCATCAAGGGCCATACCTTCGGAAATTATCTCATGGGCAATTTTCTGAAGGTCGTGAGACTGCACTTCCACGGACTTATCATCAGTCATCTGGAATTTTAGGTACCTACTGACAGCATACTTTTTGGCACCTGCTTCTTCAGTATCATACTTTTTTTGTAGGGCATCCCACAAATCCTTAGCAGTATTTTCCATATTATAATAGTCATAGAGGTTATCAGACAGACCATTAAGTATATAGTTTTTGCACATGAAGTCAGTTTCATTCCAGGTTTCGATTTCACTATTCAAGTAAGCTAATTCATCTTCAGGAGCATTATCAGGAATAAATGGCCGAGGGGCTGTTAAGGCAGAATTAACTTTTTTGACAGTTAAGAAAAATTGCATTTTCTGTTTCCATCTTTTAAAGTGAGCTCCTTCAAAACGGAAGGGCTTGTTAAGGTCAGCAGACATAGTAATATCTTCGGTAGAAATATGGTTCTTACAGGCAGAAAAAGAATGTTCTAAAATTGTTATAAACGGAACTGCGGGAACAAAAACAGTAAGAACAAAGTTACCGAAAAAAAGACTGAGTCGCGGACTATGTCGCTTTCTTTAGAACATTCACGGCACTGCCCTGAAAAGGTGCAAGCAGTTCGTACTAAACCGGATGTTCCCCAGGATAAAACAGCCTTTCTCTATTGAAATTATACCGGTGGAACTGCACAAAACCACCGGGCAACTAAACACCCAAAAAGAAAAGAAACTGCTCGAGGGTTTTGTTTTTTTGTGAGGAAAAATAGAGAGGAGAAGAAGATTGCTTTCTGTATTTTTTTGTGTGTCAAAAACAGGAAATCAACACGCCTTTTATAGGAAAAATTGCAACGTAACTGCTGCTGTTTAATTAGGCACTAATCACGCAATTAAAACGGTCATAAGTTGAACGTTCAAAACGGTTACAGAAGATTAATGCGTGGCAAAACGTTTAGCAAAAAATCAGTGAAAACGTTTGCATGATTAACGCTCCATTAATCAGTTTTGAAAAAACGGTCAAATGTAATCAGTCAAAAACGTTTAGCAAAAATCAAGGACTAATCACGCAATTAGCCTTGTCCAAAAAATAAGTTTATTTAATAAACCCGACCCGACCCAACCCAACCCAACCCGGCCCGGCCCGGCTCGGCTCGGTTCGGTTCGGCGCGCGTGTGTGTGATAGATGGTTTACCATATATAGGTCCTCCCTCTCCACAAAATGTGGGTAGCCCAAGGGCCACACCCCCCTTTAGCCCACTCTCTATATTATAAAGAGAGTAAAACTCTCATTTCCCACCAATGTGGGACTTTGAGTTTTTCACAAAATTCACACACTACACACTTGTTGTTCCAACACATGTTTATAGTGATTATTCTTACCTAAATCTCCTAGAAGAGACTGATGATGTATCGCTAAGTTAGGTCAGGCGCAAGGTTATTTTTTGGGTGGCTTGCAGATTTAGTCTTCTTCTTTATTGATGAGGTAATACATTGAACGCGCGTAATGATCTAAGATATTTGTAACTTAATTATATTAATATTTATCTTTTCTTGAAGGTTATGACTTTGACAAAAAAGACGGATAATGAATTGGTATAAACCGAATGGTAATGAGATATATGTATGAGATAATATCATTCTATAGCAATTGCAAGGGTAATTTGAAAGAGGTTAGTGATGAATTTACCTCTTCTTTACAAGCTAAAATGCTTTATACGAGTTTTGGATGATGTTTTATTTTTATAAAGTATAATAGACAAGTTTTTTTTATATTTTTTATTTTTATATTTGCAGGAGTATTTGGCAAGACTTGCAGCCTACAACGATGTAGAATTAGATGAGATTTGAGACAATGGGCTAAGTTTTTAGCCTTACTTTTTTGTTAGAAGGCTAGTTATCTACTTTTCTATATAATACATTTCTATATATCTACTTTTATTTAGCCTATTAGTTATTATTATTACATTTCTAAATTATAAATCAATGATTTTTTTATTCAAGTTTTAATTGTTTTTTGGAAATTAAAGTATAGTTACTTTTGTTGTATTTTATGGTTGTGGATGAATAATTCAAGTTTTGTGGAATTATTTGGAGTGTTTGTATTGTATGTTGTAGGTGAATTTAAGTTATATGGAAGTATGTTCAGAGTGCGTGTTTTGTTGGTTGAATTATAACAGGTTGTAACCCATTTGACGATGGGTTGTTTGGTAGGATATACTACCATTTTTGTATTCGAATAAAATATTTATAAAAAAATTATTTATTTATTAGTAACTGGCGTAATCTAATGCTAGTTACTACTAATATATTATTTTTTTTAAATAAAAAATTATATTTGTAAGAGGCATTTAGATTTGCCAGTTACTAATAATACCCTAATTGTAACCGGCGTAACGTAATGCCAGTTACGAATAGTATGCTTTCTAACTTGGAAAATAGACTTTTTGTAACTAGCGTTAGATTAGGTCAGTTACGAATAGTGCATTATTTGTAACTAACATTAGCCGATTGCGAATAAATTTCACTAGTTGTAACGGTGGCATTCGCAATCAACAATGTCAGTTACAAAAAGTCAATTTCGCCAGTTACAAATAGCAGTTTTTCTACTAGTGTTACTTGTATATATGTATTGATAAGTGTTTTAGATTAATTCCTTACGTATATAATATGATAACTTGACACAATTCTTTTAGGAAATTTTGGTATTTGCTACCAGGGAAAACACCTCGCTTCACATTTGCTACCGGTTTAAGTTTTTATTTATTTTTTACTTTGCTACCAATTAAATCAGAGTTTGTTAAAAATAAATACCTGATGTCTTACACTATTACTATTTCCTTTAGTTGGTCCAACCACCACTCCTTCCCCAGCCACCGTCAGCTACCTCCCTTTTCCCCCATCACTGCTGCCCCGAAGGCTGAAACACATCCCTGACACCCCCCTCCCCTTACCGTCCAGCCCATTCCCTTCGTCGGCGACTGGCTCCTCCGCCCTTACCTAAAGCCCCTTTCTCTTCCCATGAAACCCTAGAAAAATCCATCACCTACCCTCAAAACTGACATATTGTTCCTCCTCCACCCTTAAAAACCCTGGTCAATCATTAGGCTTTCGAGGCTGGGCAAGGAGCGATTGGGAGGTTTCAAGGGTAGGGAAAAGGTGTTTCTAGGGTTTCGTGGGAGGGAAAAGTGTTTCGTGGTGGTGAATCATGGTTTAGGGGCTAGGGGAGAAGAGCGGTGTCGCGTGAAGGAGTTTCTAGGCCGTCGCCAGGTTTAGAGGTGGTTGGCGGAGGGGGGGTGGGGGAATGGAGGTGTTGGGGGTTTGCCGGTATCAAGGGAACATTTAGGCGCCGACAAGGGGAGGGGGTTAGGTGGTCGACGAGGAGGGGAAGGTGTGGTGGCTGGGAATTTGATTTTTTTAAATAAATTAAATTATTATTTAATGAAATAAAATTATTATTTAATGAAATAATATGTCCCTCTTAACGGAACCTTTGAATTCTGTTAAGTGTTAGTTATTTTTAACAAAGTGTGATTTAGGTGGTAGCAAAGTAAAACTAATTTCTAAATTGGTAGCAAATGTGAAGCGAAGTGTTTCCCTTGGTAGCAAATGTCAAAATTTCCATTCTCTTACCCCTTAGGAAAAAAGTGTGAAATAATGACTTGTAGGAGCGCAAGCATGAAAATTTAACTATTGTTGCCCTATTATTTTGAGCTTCTGGGTAGCGCAGAGCGGATTTAGCAGAACAGAGTAGTGCAGAGAAGATTTGAACAGAGCATAGGAGATTATTATTGTTATTGTTATTACTATTATTACTATTACTATTACTATTACTATTACTATTAAACTACTATATATTACTATTACTATTACTATTACTATTATTATTATATCTCAAAAACAATAGTCATACAACCTACAATAAATTAGTGAGACACTAGTAGAAAAAAGGCTATTTGTAACTGGCGAAATTGACTTTTTGTAACTGGCATTGTTGGTTGCGAATGCCACCGTTACAATTAGTGAAAATTATTCGTAACCAACTAATGTTAGTTACAAATAATGTACTATTTGTAACTGGCTTAACATAACGTCAATTACAAAAAGGCTATTTTCCAAGTTAGAAAGCATACTATTTGTAACTGGCGTCAAGTTATGCCAGTTACAAATAGAGTATTATTTATAACTGGTATAGCCTAACGCCAGTTACGAATAGTGTTTTTATTATAAAAAAATAAATAAATAAAATGGTTATATAATGTAAAGAACATTAACTGTTAATAAACTTTTAAAATACAATAACTATTAATTTAGCCAATATAAGACCAACTTTAAGCGACAACTTGTAAATTATATTGAATTGATGTACTTGTAAATAACAAATATTTCTCTCACAATTCACAATAAATAATACTTTATAACTTAAAAAAGCTAGTTAGTTAATTGATACAATGGTCAACCTTCAAATTTTGACGATTGTCTCTGTCTGCTTCACAAATTTGACTTTTTTGTATGGGATTTGAAGCGATCATTTCGACGTGCACGAGCTCTTGCCACTAGCCTCACATTCTTTAGTAGTTTCGCAACTTCTAGGATCAATCTTCCCAACTTTCTCAGCACAGGTAACTGCATTCTCAAACCTGCAAGATATCCATCATCTGTTCTTACTTTCCCTACAAAGCTTCTAAACTTTTCTCGCTCCCGATAATTAAGACTTCCTCTACTCACCTATCTGGGCTCGGACATAAAAGAGGTAAGCATCAGAAAGCATCCCAATAAACTTACTCTGTGAGCAGCAGTTCGGAGATGGTTCAACTTTCGGTATGTGTGAAAGAATGCTATCTATGTCATCTAGTTGCCGGAGCTTTAAAAGGGATTCAACTCTACAAGAGAAAAGCTAGACATTCATTGTATCACTTAGCTTGAGTACCAATTAGAAAATTATGGAGTTCTCCAAAAATAGAAAGTATACTATATTCCAGCAACATATTGACAATTTTTTTTAAAAAAAGTTCACCTGAGGAGAATAGTCAGCTCCAGCAGCAATCGCAGTATCTCCTTCCTGCAAATGCACTTTTCTAGTCTCCAAATTTCCGAGCATCAAAACATCTATTTAAATTCTTCTCCACTACTTGTAATTTGTGGAGTTTTGTTGCCTCAAACTGATGTCCTGCATAGAACAGATGTTTTCTAGCAACATCTACCTGTCCTAACCTAAAACCTGCCAAGTAACAAAATAAATAACTACTAAAAAATGCAAATTCATATTCAAAAAATTATTGTCTTCAATACACATGGTGAAAGAAAGTAATTCCCATGTTCAAAGAAAACTCACGGTAAGATAGAATTTGATTACAAATTCCACTACCATGATTAACAGATACTTAGGGTCCCTGAAGCAAGTCAATGACATCAATTATCATCTGCCACCATCCGGAAATGATTTCTGCTTCTTAAAGTAACATATCCTCAAAATTATTAGTGCATAAACAATAAGAAAACATGTGCAGGGACAAGAACTTCCTAGTATAGCATCACTGGAACTACTTGTGGCAATGTGATCAGTAAGAGTTAACATGGTTTTAGCTTAAAATTATAATCATCACATAAAATAAAGGAAATTACTTAAATAAGAAAATAGCCTTAGAAGTAAAAATGGTTTTAGCTTACAAGAGTTAACATGTTTGAAACCAATTGTCCAAACAAAATTACAATGCAGCTGACAAACAATTCCATAAAATAAATAGATAAGATACAAACTAGTTATCCTTTTTCTCCCCACAGCATCCCTCATACCAATAGTTGGACATAGAAGTTTCAGCTTCAAACCAATAGTAGTTGCAAAAAAGTAAGTTGAAAATTAAGTTGAATTACAAACTTATTATTTAAAGAGTAAATCAAAATTCTAATCTCACCACTACATGATTTTTAGACTACACTAAGTTGCAAGAACAAACCAACAAATTTAGCTTTATCATGAAAAAACTCTTCAAGAATTATAAGGATACATTAAAACAAACAATAACAATATGGAGAGTCCATAGCTTAATATTAAATTCCACACCATACAAGTATTAAAATTCATTTTGCACAAATAAATCATAAAATTATTTTGCTTAACATTACATAAAAGAGATTAGATAGACAAACAACATATTAAGTTAACATCCTTATCTACCACACTTCACACGAAGCATAAACCTTCTAGAAACATTGGAACATCACTCTAATAATATTTTGGCAATTTTAGTGAGTAATGCACTGAAAACCTCTTTCAAAAGTAGTGCCAAAATTCAATTTAAAAGTAAGAGAATAAATCATATTCTTTAAATCAAACAATAAAAAACAATTCCCTATCCGTAAGCCTAAAATTCTTAGGTATTTTTCTTAATCTAAAAACATACCCTCACTCTCATACCATGTACATTCAAGATTAGTTTTGATCTTTCCTAAATCACTTGATTGTACTACTTTCCTAGCTGACATAAAATAGATGCAGGGCCAAGAGAGAGGATACAAAGGGTTCTGAATTTGATCCAGAAACTATAAACAGGGTGCAAGGTGGCACATAATAATCAGGGTACGTAGGATTTAGAGACTTGTAGAATGAAGCCAGCCCGAATTAAACATGGACAATGAAAACTCAACCTCAATGAGAAAAACTACCCCTTCCTTTCTTCCTATTGACATACAATTCTTCGAATTCACATCCTTTGAGCAAACGGAATTGGATTAAACAAATCAAAATCCGTAACTGCTGTAATCCATCACCTATGGTTGGTAAATCATCAAGACATAATTGGGCATATGGCAACTAAGGAAGGCCCAAAGTAACACCATATGTACACTCAATCAATCACAAAACCAACCAAAAAGTTCCCTATTATGTTGAAAATGAAATCATGAACATACTTTGTCAACACTGGCGACCACATAAGCCAAAAGAACAACAAAACAAGATATAATTCACAAGACAGCAACAAAGCCCCAATCTTGTATTGTATAGAAGTAAAAGCTCGCAAAAACCTTAGATTACCAAGCTAGAGGAGAGAGAGAAGGAAAGGGGTGGGACAATTTGTCGCCGGCGGTGTTGTGCTTGCGGCTGCGACAGTGTGGTTGCGGTTGCAGCAGTGGAGTGCGCGTGTCGGCGCGTACCTCCATCTTTGAGCAGACAGAACGTTTGAGATCTAGAATGTGAGGATGAAATTATAGAGTAAATAGAACGAAAAATTAAAAGAGATATAATTCACAACTAATTGGGGTTTTTATTCAATGAAAGAGATAAATCAGTTCATTACATGAACCCTAATTCGTGAATTCAAAATTTTACATACCTCTCTTTAACCTCCATAGAGCCCTTTTTTGCTGAATATCAGATCATTCTTGACGAACAAGAAGCAATTTTTAATTGAATATTTATGTAATCGTTTTTTTTTTTTTTTTTGAAAGAAAAAAGGAGATCCAAGTTATTGGAAGAGAAAGGAGTATACAGGAATACTCATGAATTCGAAAACACAAGTGGAAAGATGAAAAAAAACTACTCCGTACTTAGGTTTTTAAAAATTAAATAAATAAAAATTATTTTGACACAAAATACTAACTCGCATTTGTAAGCCAGTTACTAAATATTTGGTCAAATTTTATTTGACTCAATATTTGTAACCAACATTTATAGGGTCGGTTACTAATAGAATTTCCAACCTTCATAAATTTCAAATTAGTAACCTTTGTCTACAAGGCCAGTTATTAATGTCATATTATTTGTAACTGACATTATTTTAGTCAGTTACTAGTGGTGTTTTAGTAACTAGCGTTTTTAACGCCAGTTACTAATAGGGCGCTACAAATAACATTTTTTCTACTAGTGAGAAGCCGAGATACAATCTGGGCCCCACTCCTCTAGTTATAGCAAAGTCTACCCTAGTAAAAATATGAGCTGCAACACGTGCTCCAATGTATTGCATCGTCGAGAACCTGTAAATTCGCTTAAGCAAACGCATTAGCCTCCTTCTCTAATTCACCAAACAAAGAAAAGGAGAAGGGAATGAACCCATATCCAATCGCCTGACAACGAGCCTCATACTTAACCCGCTTCTGATGAGCTACATCAGCCACAACCCGTCCAGGAATAAAGTCAGGTAGCCCTGACTGTGTTAAAGGAGAAGATCCTGTCAAATCTACACAGACATCACAACCACGATCCCAAGAATAAAGTAACACATAAGCAGGTCTAGGGGCCTCGTCGTTCCATCCTGACAACCCAATGTCAACCTCTTTCCTTGCTGAAATCCCAGAACGATAGCAAACATCAACTAGGGTATCCCGAACAACATTATGTCTATGTTTAATACCCACGATACCAGCACACGACACCGCATGATCGCTAAAAATCTCCCCTGGAAAAACCCTCGAACAAGTAGAGCACGATGTTGAGGCAGAGAACAACGGAACACCCAATCAATAGCATAACACACATTGGTAAGTCTTTGCATTCATAGTCTGACCCAATCCTGAAATAGGAACGGCCCGAAACCCAGCAAACGTGTGATCTCCCTACTGAGTTTTCCACATTGCTGATAGACGAGGGGATAATGAAAAGGTGGATTCTGCAGAATCGGTAACCTTCGTGATATATATATCTGCCAATTTATTCATGAGTTTCGGGGCAGCAACCTTACTAGGATTACTTAAAAAAATCAGACTCCACTGCGCCATTATACACACTCAAAGCGTCTTTAAAAGCTCGACCATGACCAACAATGTCACCATGTCGTAGAAGCCTTGTCTGCAACCTAGCACACTGTAACCGAGAAGCAAAAAAAGCATAATGCCGAACATCACCTACAAAATAAACACCAAGCCCTCCAAACGCAAATGGTAAGGTGGCAAGCCGTCACTGCCAATCGCCGAACCCAGGTCCTGAAGCAGTAACAATATGCTCCAAAGAAGATCGAAGGGCCTCGTCAAAAGTGCGTTGAACCGCCTCAAAAGTACTAGGGGGACAAGTACGCAACGCAAAGTAGAGTTTAGAAACTTCGGTATAAGCCCTAAGTAACAATAGCTCAAATTGAGGATCATCCAGCGTAGCAACCTTATCCATAAGCGCAATGGTCTTGGTCACCTTATGCATCACAAGTTCACTACTAAAACCAGAATTAGAACTAGCAGGACCACCAAGCAACTTAACACCACGCGAAGGTCGAGCAATGTTAGGTGGAAAGACCCCCACAAGCCTGCTTCGGGGGTCTTCTGTAGGCTAGAAAACTTCAGTTTTGTCCACGTTAAGATGTAATCCAAAACAAGGCCTTTCCTCCATAATCAGCTGCAGAACCTTCCCCGCCACCAATGTGTCACCAATAATAGTGTCGTCATCTTAATACCAAGCCTGAAGACATACATCAAAAGTATCTCTGATTTTACACACCAAGGGTTGTAAAACCAAAGCAAAAAGCAGAGGACCTAGGGGATCACCCTACTACACCCCCTGAGACGACCATAAGGTGTGGTCCCCATAATACAATCTGGCTGGATTAGAGTAGGAGAATTCAACCCACCGCGAAATACCTGGACAACGACGACGGACTTCACGTATCATGACCGCACGATCAACTAGACTGCAGGGATTACAAAAATCCACCAACAACATTGAAAGACCAACATTAGATCCACGAACCTCAAGCAATCGATTCACAGCATGAATAATGGCCACACCACCTGAAGAAACCCCAACGCCAAATTAAAGACCATCAAAGTAACTTCCCAAAGACTGCCCAACCATAACAACACCGACTTTTAAAACCAGACGCCGCTAAACAGTACCCACAGCTATAGGACGAATTCCACCACCGGGCTTGACAAGTGGTGAGAGTGGAGCACTAGCAATATACTCTCCTAGTTCCATAGGACATCTACCAGCTAGAAACAAATTAACCACCCCGGTAATAGAGTCAACCAACTCGTCTGAGACAACCACAACAACACCACTCAAGCAATCCATAAGGTGTTGAGCCCGTAACCCGTCCATACAACATGATGTGCCACGCGGGAAACTCTTAATCCGATCCAAAACCACAGTAGAGGAAGCAACGAGATGAAGTTGATCAAAAGGAATATCAACAGGCAAGGAAGGAGGTGAAGAAGAAGAGTGTTTTGAAAGCAAATCAGCAAGAGTGGCCTCATTATACGGAGCAACACTTGAAGAAGAAAGAACCCGGACTACAGCGGTGTAATGGCCATCACAAATCTTCCTACGACACTGCTTGATATTACGCTCTTCCAAATCAAGGTCCTCATCATCAACCACCGACATAGTAGTAGCATCCTCAGCCAAAGTTTCCCTCACAAGCTGCACACTACCACCTGGTGCACCCCAAGAACAAATGGCACGTGAAATACTTTCTTCTTGATGCCAACACTTTACTGAAGACTTAGACTCACGACTACTCCGCGGGCGAAAGGTTTTTAGGGTGCAAAGAGGTAACACTAACAACAATTCCCAACTAGAAATGTCATTAGGGTTAGAGATCACCTTATCAAGAGCACCTTTCAAAACCTGAGAAAACCCCAAACGACACTCGGGAGGGATAGATTTCACACTGCGAAACCCCTTTGAGAGCAAACAATTAAGGAGAGCCACATCAAAACCAAAAAACTAATCTCGCACCAAACCATCCAGAAGTCTAATATGAGCTGAAGAAGTGGGAGCTTACGGCTTAGAGAAATTATGAAGCACAAAACAAACAATACCATCTCCTTCATCAGGGGGTGATACATCCTCACCCCTATCATGATGACACCAAGAACGAAACGTATGAGTTTTGTAAGAAACCCCACATAAAAAAATCCCCATACGCGTAAAAGTAACTTCCGCCTCAATATAAAAAGCCAAATTAGAAGTAAGAGACTGACGTGTGTCATCCCGCGCACCATTACAACAATGACGATCATGAAGATGCTTGATTAAAGAAGCCTTGTAAGCCCATTGCCACTCCCATCTTGACACCCACTAAGACCCACAAAGGGACAATGAAACTTCAATGACATGGCTACACACAGCCACCACCAAAATCGGAGCAAATACCACTAAGAAAACAACACTTAAAAACCCAAAAAATCCACAAATAAACTGCACCCAAAAGCACCATAAACTTCACTCGAACTGACCAGCAAAATGCACCCAAAAATCACAAAAAACAACACCCAAACAGACTAGAAAATTGCACCTCAAAAGAACATAAAAATGACCAGGAAATTGGAGACAAAATGCACTCAAAATAGGACCTAAAAGCATAAAAACGTACCAGAAGCTGCAGCAAGAAGAAATGCAGAATTGTTGTGCACAAAACACCCCCAAACACCAATGAACACAGCATGCAAAACTACACAAAAAAAACAACCCCAAACACTAAAGACAGAGACCCTAAAACTTGCTTGAAAATCACCCAGAAATCTGCCAAAAAACCGCATACAAAACCGTCCCAAAATCGCTCATAAACTCCCCGAAACACGCATAAAACAGCCCGTAAAACTGCACTGTTAAACATCCCCTCCAACTCAACGGAATTCCTCCCAGAAACTGCAGCCTAATCGCCGGGATACTTGACCTGACACAACGCCGTTGAAGCAGCCGCAAAACAAGCCCTGGAACAACCTGAACGTACGTAGAACCAACCCAAAATTCGCCTTGAAACTGCCCAAAAAAACCCCCTGAAACAACCTGAAAAGTGAAGCAAGAGATGTTGGCCGAGAACCCTTCGCCTGACAATTATTATTATTATTATTATTATTATTATTATTATTACTATTATTATTATTATTATTAGTATTACTATTATTGTTATTATTATTATTATTATTATTATTATTATTATTATTATTATTATCACTAAAACAAAAGTCATATAACCTACAATAAATTAGTGTGAAACAGAGATACAATCAAGGCCCCCACTCCTCTAGCTATAGCAAAGCCTTCCCTAGTGAAGATATGAGCTGCAACACGAGTCCCAATGTCTTACGTCATCGAGAACCTCTGAATTCGCTTCAGCAACGCAACAGTCTCCTTCTTTAATTCCCCAAGCGAAGAAAAGGAGAAGGGAATGAAACTATATTTAATCACCCAACGACGAGCTTCATACTTAACCCGCTTACGATGAGCCGCATCAGCCACAACCCGTCAAGGAACAAAGTTAAAAAGCCCTATCTATGTCAAAGGAGAAGACCCGGTTAAGTCGACACATACATCACGACCACGATCCCATGAAAAAAGTAACACATCGGCAGGTTTGAGGGCCCCATTATTCCCACTAGACTACCCTATGTCAACCTCCTTTCTTGCTAAAATCCCAGATCTGTAGCAAATATCGACAAGTGTATCCCAAATAACATTATGTCGATTTTTAATACCTACAATACCAACACACGACACCGCGTGGTCACCGAATATATTCCTAATAAAAACCCGAGAGCAAGAAGAGCACGACGACGAGATAGAAAACAATAGAACAACCATACGATAGCACAATACACATAGGTAT